GCGATCTCACCTAGAGGAAGCCATGACCATGTGTCAGAGCAGGGAAGATGGCTGTGGGTCGTGTTTGTCACCCGATGCGGAGTTTGCGAACAGAAGCAAAATTTTGTGAACGCTGCTGTTTGTGAACCGAATTGTTCGTGAACAGAAGCGTTTGTGAACCGAGGTATGTACAAGTAAGCACATCAACTTTACTCCCCCATGCCCTCCAGAAAGCAAACAGCTTAATTAAAAGGGAGACTGTTCCATAATACAAGGGCCACAATGAAAAATGTTGCCTGTGGGCACCCATCCCCTTTCACCTCAAGGGGGACAATAAAAAGATGTTGATGATATATGTGCCCTGAAAATCGGGTGGGCTGCTTCTGTGTGAAGCGAGTAGTCAAGTAAGTACCTAAATGCCAAGCCACATTGGACTTTATAGGTAAAAAACAGCATTTTGAATTTCAGCCAGAAACTTATTGGTAACTAATGCAGTAACAGGCATTACTGACTCACCCATATACAAGCACAATTAGTTTGATAAAAGTAGTAAGAAAGTCCTAGAATCATAAGGTTGGAAGGGACCTTGGAGGTCTTTGTCCAACCTCCTGCCCAAGGCAGGAGTCCTTATACCATCTCAGACAAATGGTTGTTCAATCTTTTCTTGAACCTCCAGCAGTGGAGCACCCACAACTCCGGGAGGCAAGCTGTTCCACTGCTTAATAGTTCTCACTGTCAGGAAATTCCTCCTTATTTCCAGGTTGGACCTCCCTCTGACAAGCTCCTACCCATTGCTTCTTGTCCTACCCTCAAGTGCTATGGAGAATAAATCGACGCCCTCTTCCCTGGGGCAGCCCTTCAAGTACTGTATTGGAAGACTGCTATCATGTCTCCGCTCAGTCTTCTCTTGTTAAGCTAAACATATTCAGTTCCCTCAGCTGTTCTTCATAGGATTTAGCCTCCAGACCCCTTATCATCCTTGTTGCTCTCCTCTGCACTCTTTCTAGGGCCTCAGCATCTTTTTTGTATTGTGGGCATCTTTTTTCTATAATTCCCTTTTCAAAATTATCCCATTAGTTAACAAAGAATGGGGTAAAGGGTGATTTTAATTACTCTTGTTTGTAACCAGGGCAGAAAATCTTTTTTAAAAATGCACGTTTTAACCCATCTTCCATCACAGAGCTCAGGATGGTATGCAGAGTTTCTCCCAAATTTTATTCTCCTAACAGTTCTGTAGAGAGTGGATTTCATGAAGTTGCGTTCTGGTTTCCCAAGTCCTAATCTGAAAATGTGTTCACTATACCACACATTCCTTTCTCTGAAAATCAGCAGTTTTAGACTGAAAGAAAAGATACTCAAGTGATCTGAAGAAGCATTTTTCTCCTTCCCTGTGCCTGAAATCCTGGAGTGGCAATAGCAAGAGTCAAACATCAAGAGTCTTCAGAGTCTTCAGTGTAGATATGTACATAATGCACTTAATTGTATGAATATGTAAGCATTACTTCTGCTCTAATAAGAAGCATAATGACTTATGGCTTGGTGCAGAAATAAGCCATGGTTGGTGGTCAGGCTGTAAAAATGGCAGTGCCATCATAGTTCAGCCATAGCAAGTAACTTGTGTAGACTAGACAGAGATTTTTCTTATCTGTTCCTGCTTGAAGTCAGCAGTTTTCTTTAAAAAAAACAAGCAACCTTTGGTAAGGATTTGCATCATAGCTGCCATGTATTTCCCACCAGGAACATTTAGGTATGTGTAATAATAATAATAATAATAATAATAATAATAATAATAATAATAATAATAATAATAATATAATAGTAGCTATGATCTGTGGTGGCAGCTGCCATCTTGACTCTTTTGACACCCCCATGGATACCCTCCTTTCCTACTTGAAAATGTAGAAAATGACACCAATTTTTGACAGCTGCAATTCGAGAGGGCTGGAAGGTCCAGAAAAGAACTCAGGGCCATACTATCCAGGGGTTCTGGCTGCCCATCCTTGGATGAATATCCTGTGCAATCTAGTCAACGGGCTTATTTAATAAATTAACCATGATGCAGGGCAATGTGTAAACTCAGTCAAAGCCTCAGAAAGGATATGTCTATGTCTATAATGATCCCATATTGTTGCAACAGGATCTTTCAGAGGTTCCTGATTTCCACAGCAGTAGCCATGTCAGTCTGTTGCAGCAAAAATAACTGAAGGTCTCATGGCAACTTTATAATGAAATTATGGATGGGGCACACGTTGAATCAAAGGTCATTTTTTGTCTTTAAGTTGCCAGGAGTAGCTTCCAAAGGCGACCCCTTTGCTCACTTAGAAAAAAAAAAACGTTCATTTCCAAGCAGACATACATAAAATAAAAAGGAACAAAGAAAAAAGGGGGAAACAACACAACAAATAAAAACATAGACCCAAAAAAAACCCCACCTGTAATTACAAATATATTCTAAGTTCACCTGGTTTTGTAAACCTTTGAAAGGGAAAACTAAGCTTTGAGTATGATTACAGAACCAGCTTGGCCAACAGAGGACTTCTCGTCTGGAGTCTGCTTGGGCTGGAAACCTGTTCCTTTTGTTTCATACGTGCTGCTGCACCCCCCACTCTCCTTCTGGCCCACCCCATTGCAACTGGTGCAGAAGGTGCAGAAATTCCCAAGACCTTGTAAGCATCAAATTTGGCGGGAGGCCAGGCTGGGTCCATTGTGTAGTTTTATTGCACAACAAGCACTTAACTCTGAACAGAAACACAAATCCAATGCTACAGTGAAGTAATGCATGAAGGAAGGGAAGAAGTAGAGCAAGATACAGGAGCAGCAGCAGCACATCTGTCCTGGATCCAGCTTCCATCTCATTTTCACAGCACAGATGCCTGGCAGACTACATTAGGTATATATTAAGAAGGAATTCAGTGAAATACAGTGGGACGAGGCCTTTAAGTTCCATCTATCCATATATGGTTCAAGCACACTTCTCCATCAATGTATCCACCCCCACAGTACAGGCTGAAACGTTAACATTCAGAAAATGCGATTCACAGATGCTCACATAAGACCAAAACGGAGGGGGGGAAAGTTTAATAAATTAATATTATTTATTATATTAATTAAATTAACATTCATTGATTCCAGTTAATTTACAGAAGTTAGAAAATTACAAACACAGCATTGCAGGATTCAATTATTCTAAACTGCAGGAAAAAAATTAACACATTTTTCACTGCTGTATATGAGGCATAACTTTTCTGAGTAGAATAATGTATGTTGCCAGCTGTACAGATCTAAAACTGAGAGGGCTTATCAGGTTTTTAGGACAGCCTTCCCTACTTGTTAGCCTCCCAACATGTTGAGACTACAACTCCCACAACTTCAAGCACTGTGGACGTTTTGTGGGGTTTTGTTTTGTTTTTTGCCATGCTGCTGGGGATTCTGGGAATTGCAGTCCCAACACAACTGGAAGACGGCAAGATGAAGCAGTCTAGTTTAGACTGACACTGACTGCTTGGCAAAGTTGTTTTAAGGCACATATTTAGAAACAAAGATCTTCAACTTCTCTTTAAGATCACAGCTCATTTTCCTAGCACCAAATACTTTTATATAAATTTAAGAAATAATCCTAGAGCACTCACATTTTTATCCAAACAATTTAAGGCGTTTAGCACCTAGAATCAGTTTTGTTTTGCTCAGACTGACTGTGGAGCCAATCCATCCGTCTGCATTCTCCTGTGCAGACCTCAGTGAAACCAACTAGGAGGTCAATGGGCCTTGTGGAGGCACGTCTCCTGGAGATTATAGCTCTGAAGACAGAATAGCCCTGTATGCTATACTTGGATAAGGGCTAAGAAGTTATAATGATCTGGTATCTAAGTAAGGAAGTTTTAAGAATGAGTAGTCAAAGGCTTTCATCACCAAAAAGAAAAAAAGAATGAACATACTGTACTGGAGGGAGTATGGAATATTGAGCAATCAAAAATCAGAGGAAAAACTACATTCAGTAAAGCCAAATATGGTTCCAGGGATGCCATGCAATCAGAATCAAATGCTTCTAGAGCTCCGTAATCCAGCCTCTCTTAGCAACGGCTTGAGTATCAGTCTCTCACTGATTATGCTTACTCTACATATTAAGCCAAAGTGTCTCCCAACCCATTAAACGCAACTTTTAAACCAATGTGTTAAGCAAGCATCTCATGGTGTCTGAATCCAGGGCCTTTCCTCATGGTTCAGTTAAAGTACTATCCACTCATCCTTGAGCTGACAAAAATGATGCAACCATAAAGTTTTATATTGATCCATATAGTATTCTGCCTCAGTAGCATTGACATCCTATGGTGATGTCCTGACTCCAGGGGTGCAGGGCATGTTAAGCAAAGCCATTGGTTAAACCCGCCTGCCTTCCTGCCCTCCCTTTTTCTGAATGTCATCAGCTGGTGGGAAACTATCCCCCAATCACAGCACAGCTGGTTTTCACAGATGGCCACCTCCCATTCTATTAAAATGCTTTAAATGAAAAAAGATGGTAGGAAGATTTGAGTTGAATCCATTAGTCACAACCCTGGGAACAGTGTACCTTTCCTTTAAATGCTGTTGATATTAAGGATGACTTTAGCTAGATTAGACCTACTTTTTCTCAAAAACTAGTAATTGATAGCCATGCAACACATGGGCACATCCTTTGTATGCCAGTGGGGTGTGATGTTCCACATCAGCGCATGGGGCATCAGTAGGCTTCTAGAATTTTTTACAATGCTTGTGATTTTCCAGGCTCATGCTGATGCTACCTAAATTCCAACAAGTCCTCCGTCCCTGACATTTGTTGGAATTCAGAGATTCAAAATTCATCATTGAATTCTGTTACTAAAATTTGCCATATCTTACCATTACACTTTTGCCAATTCCAATACAGAGCCAACATCATGAGGTACTGTCACTGTATTGGCGGCTGTCTTTTCATGTATCAAGATGAAAAGCAACTATATTATAACAGAAGGAGAAAGGGCATAGAAACATGGAGGGGAAAGCAAGAAGCACTCCACACGTCTGCCAACGGCTTTAGGGGAGGGGGAATCTTGCACCAGCTATGTGTTTAGACTCTAGAGAACAATGAAATAAAATAACAAGTTCAGAAAACTGCCTAGTGTGGTAATGCCTATACCCTTCCACAGGGCTGCATTCACAGTTACAACTGATGCATACATCTGGGAGTGAAGAAATTTTCACTGTAAACTATTGCTGGGAAGATGTGATTGTCCTACACAAGAACTGCAACCACAAGGAGGGATGAAATGAGAGTGAAAATGGGGTACAGCCATAGTGAATGGGAATTCTGGGAGATGTATTCCTGGCACATCCGGAGGCACCAGATATCACTTTAGTTTTGAGCTATCAAAACCACTGAGCAGAGGCAAGTGTGCCTTGCTTCTAACCTTGTTAAAATTCTTGTTTTCTTGCCTTCAGAAGTTTAACAGCTCTTGTATAAGCAAGTTCTTCAACTGAATGCCAAGTTTCAATTGATTTAGTAGAACAAAGATGCTATTTACAGTACTGCTGTCCTCCTAGCCAAGGTCCTGAAATCTTGCCACTGGGTCACAGCAATCCCACTGTTTGCAGTCATAACTGGGCACTATTTCTTTCCTATTCCCCCCTCCAATCTTCTTCTAGTCTTTTCCTTCCACTCTACTGCTAAACATGGCCCAGAAGCCCCTAGCAAACTGGCAATCAAGGGAACACAACTTCCAGATATACTTCCTGTCTCTTCTTCCCCCGGAGCCAGCCTTTTCTTCCTAGGAGGCAACAGTGCCTGATCATTATCTTGGACAGACTGACAACTGAAAGAGATAAAATTCCTGAAGTATTAGAAATGTCACCTGTTTAGCTACATGAAGCTACATGAAGTCCCATTCAAAAGCCCTGTGTAGTGTCAGCAGACTCCCCCAAACCAGGAAACTGTTGGCAGCTGTACCTCTTCCATTGGTGCCAAAGGAATCCCTAAGCTAGTATACCCCCATTTTAAAACTGCCTACCTCCAGCCCTTTGAGGTGTTTCTACAACTCCATCCCTAGAAGATGGACAAGTGTCATTCTCCAGAACCAAATGGCTGGTTCTGGTCAATTTGGCCAAGACCTTTCTTTGATGGGATGGAAAACTAAATGCTCCCATTTTATGAATCTGGAGTTCCTTCCCCAAGGACATAGTCAGGAGCAGTTCGTAGGGTTACTGGCTTCTATGGGAATTAGAAGAGGAAATCCAGCTTTGTCCAGCAGAACGTGGTGTTCCAGGTCAAGTACCACCACTTTTCTTTCTTCACGCTGCCTTGTAGGTCTTAGGCCGGCAGAAAGCTCGGTAGAAGCCACGGATGATGCGGTACATCCAGACCAAATTGAGCACTTCCAAGGCAATGCTTGGCCCAATCCAGGCCAGCTGTACACTCAAGCCCAGACGCTCATATTCAGGAGTTCCGTACCAAGCGTACACTTGCATATAATAGCTGGGGATGACAGCAATGCGCACCACAAAGAACACCACCATCATGGCCAAGCCATTGGCCAAAACAAGCCTGGAAGTACGCGGCCAGCCAGCTGCATCAAGGAACCACCTGAGGCAACACAAAATAAAAGAAATCAAATGCATGTCAGTCCAGCCAGATTCTCCGCCTCCCCCAGTACAGCAACAGCATAAAAATCACCCTCAGGATTATGGCAGGTAACTAATAAGGTTAGACATGAGCATACAGCAGGCTTGAGGTGTTGATTCTAGAACAGAGATACAAGAGCCCCTTTATCAAGAAGCTGGTGCAAGTTCTTGGGCAAGCTATTGAAGTCACACATTTTGTTTTTGGTATCACCAAACTCACCGCAAATTCACAAAGGGTGTGGAGAGTTCCGAAAGGAGACGGAAGTTGGCAAAATAGGGAAGCACCCCACGGCTCTACGGCGACAGAAAGCAATATCTCAGATTCTGGTTTTGCCATCCCATGGCCATACCAAAGGTCTTGCCTTTTTCAATGAATCTTTAAAGTTCTGAGCAGAGATCTCACATCTCCCCTTCTCCCAGCGAGAAAGAAAAGCAACATGTATTAGACAGCAGCAGAACAGATGGCCAGCACAGCCAGACACGCAGCTGCCACTCAAATGTTCCCTCTCTGTTCAGGGACCAGTTTCAATATCTACATTTAATGCCACAAAGTATATTCAGAAAAGTTTAGGTCGCAGACACAACATTGATCCTTTTACCATGAAATGATGAACACTTCCAATTTAGAAGCAGCTGATAAATCTATTTGGAGGCTAAACTGCGTCTCTTTTTTACTGCAACTTAATTTTTCTCCAGCCTAATTTTACTCCAACTTATTTCTTAATGTAGCTGTTTTTAAAACTTTTGTCTAACTTAAATCAGAATTTGGTTACCCAGATTTTTGGCAGTCTGCTTATTGGCAGTTTATTCAACTGAAGCACTCGTTTGAGCTGTTTGGTCCTGATGCCATTGCACTCTCTTGTTCCATGGTTGTTAGGGGGGTTGTAGGAAACAGTTTTGAGTCCTAAATTGTTTATCTACTTTTACAAGAAACTGAAGGAAGTTTACAAAACTTGACCTTAATTATTTAGCAAACTACTGAATAATAAGCATGAATGTTCTGTATTTGTAAACTAGTAGAAAATCATCTTAAAGTACAGTATGTGGGGAGAAGATGGGAATAAGATGACTATTTGGGTGTGTATTAGAAGCCTCGGAGAATGTTGAATAAGAAGGGGATACAATCCCCTTGCTGTTGGAGAGGCAATTTAGAAATTGGAACACTAACACTTGCCCTACTGTTACACATTTTGGCCTGAAATTCACAGGATTTTTAATATGACTTTAGATTAATCATTGCTAGTAAAGGATATATACATTCTGCTTGGTGTATCCCCAACTTTTTAAATTTATCAGGACATCAAGAACTGTGGGTCTTTCATGCACGGAATTACTATATGACATTGGAAGAATAAATCTACACCTGATATATGTACATAGAGGACTGCTGATTTGTCAGCATGACTTCCCTTCCCTTCCCTTCCCTTCCCTTCCCTTCCCTTCCCTTCCCTTCCCTTCTGATAAAAGGGACGTTTGAGCAATTGGGTTAATTTTTTGGTTTTATATGTGAAATATATTTTAAAATTCCTTTTTCTCTTTTCCTTGTTAAATGTAAATTTCAATATTATATTATTTTGTTTGTTTATATATGCTATTTTTCTTTCTTCAATTTAATTGGTTTGACTATCTATCTATCTATCTATCTATCTATCTATCTATCTATCTATC